CACAGGATAGACTGCGATGAAGCTCTGGTGCTTTTGTCAGAGATACTCTGGGAGTCGGAGGGCGGATTGGAATTGTCTTCTTTGCAGCACCAGGTTTGTCAGCTTGAAGCATTTCAGTCACTTTGATAGTAATGCAGGGCATTGAGACACTGCTGGAAGAGCTGGGAGTCTCATCCTGGGAAAGGGGAATCCTCTCATGTCCAATAAACCACCCTCTTTTCATGTTCTGTTTCATGTTGTCCTGCACCTGAAAGAAAAACTGTGAAGCATTATTTATTAGTATTATGTCACAATCATCCCTAAAACACACTCTTATCCAAAGCATGATCTAATGACAGAGTTGTAACAATATTACATAATGAAGGTGTATGTTGTTGTGCTGCAAATATGACAAGAACAGTTTTGTTGTTAACATGATAGACAGAAACAGTCCTGGCAGGAAGATAGTGGGCGTGTACTCTGGGAGTACGTGCATGAATGCAGCCCATTTCTGTCTTTTTGCAGTACATTGACGCTTTACTCAATCTGCCTTTAACGTGGTTTAATAAAACAAGACAACGACCTCACCTCACCATATACATGAAGCGTTAGCTACATCTAAGCTGCAGGGTGAAGCCTCAGATCCTCCATTAAAAGTAGTATGTGTCAGAACTGCGCGTTCCCGTGAGTCACAGAGTGCCCGCTGTTGGCTGCAGTCACGTTACCTGATCTAAGTGCTTTACATTTTCCCAATTCTAAGACACATATGCATGTCCTCCATGGCGATCAGCTAATATGCGCGCAGTTATCAGGAAGCTTCACACGGACCAACACGTCACAGACTGTTATATGGGACATTGAGTAATTTCAGATCAGAAGGAACGTGTTTGTGTAGTGGTTTAACTCTTTGTTCCCCAAATCTAGCGTTGACTCTGTCGCTCCTGTCTTGTGTATTATTTTCCAATAGTAACTAGTATCCTCAGAGACCGTTTGGATATTTCGTTTGGAAAAGCGGCTAGTTTGACTTCACTCCAACTCCCACAATGCATCTGTATCGCCCAGTTGGACCCAAGCAGCGAGCCAGTCAGCAGCAGGTAAACAAACCAATCTGAGACTGGGACAGAGAGCCAAACAAAGCGTATGTGCTGTTAGACGGACCGTCTTACATTGTTAATAGCGAGGAGGATGACAGTCTTAAAAGAGGCACGTCTGCTGACAATACGTCGTTAAAAACAGTCGCTGCATTGTAATTCAACAGAGAGGCGAGTCGACGGCAAATAGAAGGACGACTTTAACCTGCATCGGCTGTCTGCGCATGATGCATTGCAGCATTTTCGAGAAAATGGGTGTTTTTACCCTCATCCTCAGAATAGAGTGTATGATCCGAGATGTCGGTTGGGTTCTTTAGCTACCGTGTCATTTGCTCGGGCTGGATTCAAAACAACATTCCTACTGGCGACCTGCAACATGGGGCCCATCATGCAGGAGCGCACAGCATCCACGACACTGAAACGCGTCGTCTCCAAAGAGAAGATTCGAGTAAAACATACTGAAAACAGCGAACCAGTAACCAGGTGGGCCTAATTTTACAGTGACACATTTACGATTAAACTAAAGGTGTTGTGTTATTTCTCAGACATACGTACGTTAGAGGCGAACCTGAGTAACCGCTATCCGCTATCATGTTTCCACAGTTCAAAGAAAGGTAACAAGATGAAGAAAGCAGTGGGCCAGATGAAAAATGGCCTCCCAGGGCCAGGTCAGGATAAGGACACAGTAACAACACTGCAGAAGGTGAGTGTTCAGCATCCTTGTACATTAAAAAGAGATAATGTCTAAATGAATGTCCTTGTATAAGATGTGTTCTGGGATATGTACTCATATAATCCAAGGCAAAAACATATTTCTATAATGATTGTTTTATAGGGCACACAGTCAAAAGGTGGCAGGGTCAAATCTGGCACTACACGCAATACAACCAAACTCTCCAGGTACGTGTGGTGAGGGTTTTGGTTCATACTGCATACTTTGTCTCAAGTACACATCTCTAAATCCCCAACAGCTTTCTCTAACACTCACTTGTCTCGTTACAGCCCTGAAGCAGAAGGAGATGTGAAACCTCTCCACCGCAAACATTTATCTGTGCATAGAAAAGAGGAGCAACGCGAAAATCAACGGATGTCACAGTGCAGCAATGAGCTACACCAGAATCGTGGGGGGATGGGGAAGAATCGCCGAGCTCTCTCGCTGCCTCTATCCCCAATATCAGGGCTTCGACACATGCCAGCACACCCCCTAACTCACTCCCCGGCCCCCACCCCAGAGGCACTACAGCAACACTACAACCAGAAAGATGTAGACACTGACAGTGCGAGTGATCTGTCAGACTCTGAGAGGCTGCCAGTGCTGCCCTCTCCCTGTACCCCCTGCACCCCTCCTCATCTTAACCTCCGGGCTGAGGTCATCAACAGTAATGACTTTCCCCCGGACTTCCCAGGACCTCATGGCGCAATGGGTGATGAAGATGAGATTGATAAACCCAGCTACAGTTACCCAGACTTTCTGCCTCCTCCCTTTAACAGCTGGAGCCTGAGACAGCTGGCAGTATTTCTTCATACGGATGGCCGGGGTGCCCCTCGACCTAAGCCTATAGGGACCCTCGAGAAGTACTTGGAGAGGCTGCTGCAGCTGGAGTGGCTCCAGATCCAAACAGGGCAAGCAGAGAGCAGCCGTGTGCCAGGGAGCCGCCCAAGGCCACAGAGCTTCCCCTCTGCCACCACTGCTCATCCCCCTAGGCCTCACACGGCTCCACCATCCCGACTCAACTCCCCTAAAGGGCTGAGGCAAAGCCAGCGATCCTTTCCATTTACACCTGTCAACAACCCCCCCTCACCTGCCTCAGCCCAGCAACCGCACTCCCGCTTTCCAGTTTGCCCTCACTGTCATATCCGCTACCCGTTGTGCAATGGAAGCTGCTCTGCCTATGCCTACCAACGCCACTCAAGGCTCAGTCCACTGCTTGAGCGTAAAGCCAGACCTGGAGCACCAGCTAAAAGAAGCAGCAGTGAGACCAGAGCAACCTCAACAGAAGGGAGGAGCCCTGGAGCACAAGGTGGAGGAAATGGTGATGGGGGAAATGGTGGAGGAGGAGCCCAGACCCCAGTTAGCCCCTCAGGTGGAAGGAGTCATCTCAGAAACATGCAGGCCGCAGGCAATGCTCGTAAGCAACCCCAGGAATCTGGAACTAACCCGAACAGCAGAGGTCAGGTGAGGAAAAGCCGTGTCAGAGCTAACTCTGAGACGGATGTGAAAAAAGAGCCAGGTGGCAGCAAAGCAGCTGGTGCAGAGAAACAGGTTGGTGCTGCAAGTAAGAGAGAGGTCACAACCTCCAAGAGAGTGGAGAAGGACTGGCAGAGGACAGAGGCTGTAGGTCAAGCCTCTAAAACTGCCATGAAAAGAGCTGCTAAAGAGCCGCAGTCCCTCTCCAAATCCTCAGCTAGTAGTAAGCAGAATGGCAAAACAAAAAATGTGCACTTTGTTGCAAAGTAACCCCTATACATCTACAGTATAGTGCTTTATTTACTAGAGGTTACTTGGTACAGGAGCTTGAACCTATGCTTGCTTTCTGTGTGATCTGTGTTATACTAACATGTTGTAAATGTTGAACAGCAGTCTAAACCAGTCAGTGGTGTACAGCCTTGTAAAGTTCAAAACTAACAAGAGGTTCAGCTGCTATAAGAAGAGATAAAAACAGCATTTATTTCAAAGAAAAATACTCAAATAGAACAGAATATACATGCTGTATTTCATTCAAAATGTACAGTAAGTATACAATCATAATGTTTTACTGTGTTTTGACAGAAGACTCATTATGACTCAAAGCACTACTATGATTCCTTAATAACAGCTTTTATGTAAATTGAGCTCTGCACTGCACATCATCATCTCTAAGTATACTACTAATGTTCAATAGGCATCAAATAAGCAACTACTCTGCCATAGGATAACTGTCAGCATAAATATTCCATAGTGAAGTTTAACACATCATTACATTCAAGTCATCAAATGCAACCATAGCGGTAACTAGTGGAGTCTGTGATGTAGGGATGTATTTGTTTGTAATGCTTTTACTTTACTTGATGTGGCATTTATTTCGTTTTTTCGGAGCCTCATGTTACACGACATATGTTCGGTTAAAGCATCTTTGGCTGAAAAGAAGGACGCACATTGAGTGGTGGTGTAATGCCGTGCTGTTATTTGTTTCAGAAATATTTGTGCAATGGTTGAATTGTTTGTTACAAGGGCTTCTCATGTTCAACAGCTTGAATTGTAGTCCATGATGATACAGTGTATTTTGCATTGAGCTGAGCTCTCTCTGACAGAAAGTGTAATGTTTGCTACGAATGTAAATGCCTATTTTTCCAAATTTTATATACCATAGTTATATTTATGAAAAGTGTTGTGGCTGACTTGTATTCATCATTAGCATTGTTATGTTTACATTGTCATGCACAAAAAGAAAAAAAGATGGAGTCAAAGAGCTGAATGTATACTTAATGTCTACTGTGCCGTACCATTGCTCATCCCTGAGATTCAATGTGATTTCAACACATCATAGCTGTAACATGGTAATGTTATATCACACTGCATACTTGAAGTCTGTATGTCACTGTGTTAACATTAGATTGTCTTATCTGTTCGTTGTGATTTACCACGAGCACTTCTTGATCCATGGGAACACCACATCAATGTAAATAACACGATATGTATTCAGATTGCACCTCTTTACTTAATATTCATGTAAAGTATCAAAGCCATAAGAGGCTACAAGGGGCAATGTTATTATAAATGTGTACATTATGCTGACACGCACGCAGAAAGATTGTGGTATGTATTTTCTCAATGTTGAATGCAATTATTTGTAAGGCATAGAAATAAATGTTTTGCACTCAAGGGATATTCATTCACTGGCCATTCTTTGCAACACGTGCACACTCTTAAAATCCCAAACTTAATAGGGCTTAGTTTAACTTAAATGATGGCAAGTTTCATTTATTTTCATATTTAAATGTCAACCTTGTTGGATGGATTCTGATCAGTTCATCACAGAGAGTTAACTTTTTATGAATATGACTAAAGTTGTTGTGTTTACTGGAGGCTGTCTTCTCCCAGGCACATACCAGGTGGGACATAACAATGACGAGTGTGTTACATCCTTTTCTGTCCTGGAAATGGTTTAAGGAGCCGCCGCAGCTGCTTCTCCCTGTCATTCACACACCCTGCAACAAACAACAGGTATATATTGGCAGCATGAGTATGTTATCATAGCGCAACAGAGGCTTTCCAACATGATGCCAAATGTCCTAATTGCACACACATTTTTTATAATCTGAAGAAATTGAGACATTTGTTGCGGCAGGTTACCTAGGTGTGTGTTGGCAGAGAAACTTGCACTGCCAAATGTTTCTAGATTGACGTCCTCTCTATAGACGGGCCCATCATTCCACATCAGATCGTAGCCTCCCACCCTTTTCTCCTTGCCAGAGAGCCTGAAGGGGGAAAACAACAAATTGATTAGAAAGCAGCACCAGTGTGTTAAAAGAAACATATCTTATCGTGTGTTGTGCAGTATCTTGTGATCTGAGGGAATTGTAGATAATTACTATAGTTTGTTTGCACCCACATCCTTTACTTTTATATACAACACCCAAGATTACCCTTCCAAAGGTTTATAGACTGTTAAATAACAAAATAGAAAGTGATGTCTATAATGCATGCAGAGAAAGAGAGCCCTTACATGTTAATGACAAAAAGGCAAACACAGAATGGGAAGGTGGCCTTTACCTTCCCTCCATATCAACAACATTTAAAGTGTCTTCCACCAGACTGCACTTCATCTCGTAATCCTCTTGACTACTGGGTGTGTGTGATGGAGAAGCATTCACCTCTATTAACCACCTGCAAAAAGATAGAGGATGATATTATTCACCAAGACATATACTTAGCATGTCGAGCAGACATTACCTCATTCCATGAGAACTCAAATGAATGTATCCTTATTTTCACTGGAGAGGGATACTGTCACTGGTGCGTTTTATAATTCACAGCAGGATTATTGCATATTTGTCTTCTTTTTTTTGTTGATACGCTCTACAGATTTACGAGGTATTTTATATAACACTAGAAGATTTACTGCTTTGTAGAAAAACAAAGCAACGTGTGCTGTATTTGCTTGTCTGTGCTTCTCTGTGCTTTAACTTTCCAATAATGAATCCCTTTGTGCATGTTTGTTAAGGGGATCTGTGTGGGTGATGATGTGTAGGCTCACTTTGTATGACCAAAGGAGCACTTACGGTTTGAGGTTCTGATCCAGTAGAATGTCGTACCCATAGAGCTCAAAGCAGTGTTTGTCATTTATAATGACTTTCTGAACACTCTGAAGACTGCGGACAAAGATGTTATCAATCTCTTTGAACAGGGTTTCTATTGTCTCTCTGCCATGTTTTGCAGTGAGGTATCTTCGAAGCTGTTGCAACTGCCACTTGCATCCCTATTTAGAGATTGACAAATAAATGCCAGAATAAACAGGATATTGAATACATAAATATGCAGCTAGAATCTTTTATTAACCATGGTACCAAACGCATGCATTCCCGGATAAGATGGATGCTGAACCACAGAAATATCTAGCAGAGTTAAAACATGGATACACATACCATGAAAACACAATCTGTTACCTATTTTCTGAGCTTCTTGAATCACAAACCTTTTCAGGATCATAATCTGGTGCTGTTTTCTGTACAGCCACATTGGTGAGGTGCATATCTGATGAGAGGCGCTAAGAAGAATTTGGGAACTTTTATGACTTAGTAACACTTTCCATGGGGACGAGGATTAAAGCGACACAATTAGGAACAACTGCCTTAGAAATTGGGTCAAACCCAGGCTATTTAAAGCTGACTTTGCTTAAATATTTCATCAGACAAAAGCTCAAAACTAGTTAAGGGTTGACTAATAATATCACATAAGTGTATATACATTTAAATGAAATGCAAATTGAATGGGAGCATGACGCTCCATCTTATGTTCATGTTATGACTGTCATGGTGCTTCTCCCTTACATGTACATATTAGAAATAAATATTTGATCATAAAAAAACAACATTCACATGAAGGATTCAAAAATGTTATTAAAAAAGGATACACTTGTCATCAATACTGCTGAGGGAGAAGCGGGTGCTTGAAAAGCGGCCAAAGCCATCTCGATACAGCCAGGCTTTCAAGGGAACGTACTAAAACACATGCATACTGATTCATGTATGTAGAAACATTTATATTTTGTATAAAACATTATGATTTACAAGGTTTAGTACTTACTGACGTGACCAGCACATAGACCCTCAGATCAAATTTCCGGCCTGTGGGGACAAAAGCAAAAAAAGTAAGCAGGGATATAAATCCAAATTCCCCTTTCCTTGTCCATTTTTTAGTCGTCGTTAATTAACATTCATTTATTTTTAGAATAAAAGTGCATTTCTCATTAAGTTTATTACCATTTATTAGGTAAGGGTTCTCTATATAGCGTTGTGCCACATAGCTTTCCACTTGAGCTGCATCCTTCTGTTCCTCTGAGCGTGTGCCATCCTGTGTTAACACAAAATTATCAATCTGAATTATGTGGATGTAGTATTTAACTTACAGCAAATGCCTTTATGTAATAAATAAACAGTACCTTCTTCCAATCCATGATGTCTTTCAGTTTCCTGAACAGAAAAATTCCTTTCCCTTGCGATTTTGCCACCTAAATAACATTGCTAGTTAATTTTGATGGTGAATTGATGATAATAAAGATAATTTTTATTACACTAGATTTAATCTATTGCCTAGCTTACCGGCTTCATGATCCAGGTGCTACCAGGGCTTCTTTTGAATTCCTCTACAAACAGATGATATTCGCTTGGCAGTGCAAAAGTGCAGGGGAAGAATTCACATTTGGATGCCTCCATGCGACCAACATCTCTTTCAAGATTTTTCCTATATCTTTTGAGATTTTTCACCATGAGGTTTTTGCGAGTCAGCTGTAACAAAAGCTCAGAAAACTCAGAAAAAGACGTCATGGCATTTGATAATATGAATGATAAAGAATATTAATGTTGAAATCTATAACTTATAGTCTCAAAGCATGCTAGACTGAAGCTGGCTCACCTCATAATGATTGCGAAAGTGGTTTATCCTCACATGTTCCTCCATGTATGAATGATCAAAATTCTCCCTTAGCCAGCCCACATCACACCAGTTGAAGTCCCACTCACCTTCACTGTTAGAAAAAACGTGATGCCATGTTCGAACCACAAATATTACTGAATATAGGTAAAATGACAGTTAAAATAACACTACTTACTCTTTGACTTCAACCCAACCGGGCCTTTGGCGCAGGACATCCTGTATGGTGTTGAGTAGGCCACACTTGTAACGCACACAACTCCTTCCCTCCCTGAAGTGTAACATTGCCACTGTTACCAGTACTTTCGAGGTTTGTTTAGTGTTATTCACCAGAGGAATGTAATTAGGTAGATTTAGTCATGATGTACTTTAAGTAAGTTTGATTTTGCAATACTTTTATTTTCCTTCAGTCTTTCCTTTCCGTGCCATTTACTTCTTCAACAAAATTTCCCCTATGTGGGACAAATAAAGGTATTCTAAAATCAAGATTTTGAGTATATTCAGATTTCTTTATACTGTACAACAAAATACACTGTGAACAACTGTTAATTGACAGCCAACTTAAGAACAACACTCACCGCTCCTCACTTTTGCCATAATCATTTGTCCCTTTGAATCCAGATGTCTGCAACAATGAAAAAAGCAAAAACATATTTAGCTTTCATCCAGGTTGTTTTGGGTAACTTGTAAAAAACCGATTTTACAATTTTAAGCTGCAAACTACACTTCAAAAAGCAACTCCTGGTTTGCTTATAACTTACTAACCTACTTACTTTCTAATTGTTTAATACAAGTATAGTCTTAAGTCCTATCCCTACTTTAACGACTAATTAATTGATGGATAAGCAGTAACTCTCTGTAACGCTCTGTAACGCTAGTTGGAACTTAGCTAAGTCAATCACACAAATAGCTAACAATAATAAGTTAACATCAGTCAAATAAAAGCCTACAACACAACAAAGCGTACATAGTGCTTTCTACTTACCTTACACTTTGACATGGAGGCGCACGCTATGAAATATTAGAAGACTAGGTTTATATTACAAGAATATGCGTAATTAATGATAAGTAACATCTAGTTAGCAATTAAGCTAGCTCGTCTCAATGCGTTGTTTGGCAATTGTTGTCATGGCAACCATGACCGAATGACATAGGGTCCACGTCTTCATGTGCTTACCGTAGAAAGCCAACGGGTGACCTACTAAATTCACAGCAAACACGCATCACACAAAGGCTAACAAAGTAATCATATTTTAAAAATAAATAAGTTTATCTTCCGTCAGAAATTATTACAATTCCCAGAAGTTTGGCGTTAGAGTGAAAGTATTGCGTTAACAGTAAGACCACTGGCAAACATATTATCTTCCCTCAACTTTACAATAAATCCACCACTTAGTGGCGCCAAAACCACATCTAACTTTTTGTGTAGCATAATGTTGATCCATTATAATGTCTAAAAAAATGTATTAGGTTGTGATTTGAGCATTAGATTATATATGCTTAATACACACAATTATCACATCTAGGCTACTTATTTACTCATATAGCCTAGTATTCACGTCAACAGATAGGCTATCAGCTATCAGATTGATTGATTGTTTGTTTGATATGTGAATTGATTTCTAAATGGGCCTTACTGTAGGTCAAAATCAGCTAAAACTTGTTGATTGCCAATCCTTTTTGGTGTTTTATCTATCATCACTTTGCAAATGCTAATTCCCACTGGCTTATGTGATATGTGATACATTTACCATTTGACCAAAATAAACAAATGATAAACGTCAAATCAACACAAATTGTACAATTATCGAACTATTATAGTTTTTAAATATTTAAAGCTAAATGTGATCTACAAATAAAAGAACACAATGAAACATTTTTGGTTTTATGTTGCAAACATTGAACTTTTGGCCCAGTTAATACCCCCAGCAATTTACATAGACAAGAGGATTATGGAACAAACATTTGGTAGTGGAGAGAGAGATGGATCATGAGACCTTTGATCTCTGAGGGTTATATAAGACCCTCGACGACGTATTGAGGACCACACTGCCCTGCATACCAAACCCCACATATTACCTAATGGTTGATAGATTGTATTGAATGTTTGTGTTTCTTTACTTTAATCAAGGAAATTAAATGGTAAATTATCGCAATGATCCTTTGGTTGTTGTTATAATAATAATAATATATTTTATTTATATAGCGCTTTTCTTGAACCCAAAGACGCTTTACATTTGGGAGGGAGGGTAGACAAACAAAACAAAGACAATGCCAAAACAAAACAGAAAAGCAGTCAGGAGGAAGTTGATTGAGAGGGGGGGGGGGGGGGGGGCTTATGGATACAGAGTTGAAGAGGTGGGTTTTGAGGCGGGACTGGAACAGGGTGAGGGACTCAGACTCACGGAAGTATTGGGGGAGGGAGTTCCAGAGCTTCGGGGCTGCCACAGAGAAGGCTCTGTTCCCGAAGCGCCAGAGTTTGGCCTTGGGGATGGAAAGCAAACCGGCTGAGGTGGATCTGAGGGACCGGGGTGGTTGGTAGAGGATGAGGAGGTCAGTGAGGTAGGGGGGGGCCAGATGGTGGAGGGCTTTGAAAGTGAGGACCAGGAGTTTGTTGTGGATGCGGTGTGAAACGGGGAGCCAGTGGAGTTATTTGAGGACCGGGGTGATGTGATGCCATGATTTGGTGTGGGTGAGGAGTCTGGCGGCTGCGTTCTGGACACGCTGGAGTCTACTGAGGGATGTGGAGCTGATGCCGTAGAGGAGTGAGTTGCAGTAGTCAAGGCAGGAGGAGATGAAGGCGTGAATGAGTCGCTCAGCTGCAGGGCGGGTGAGAGAGGGACGGAGTTTGGCAATATTGCGGAGGTGGAAAAATGAGGTTTTTACAACTTGACGGATGTGGGGCTCGAGGGAGAGGGTGGGGTCAAATATAACGCCAAGGTTGCGTGCCTGGGTGGAGGGGGAAACAGGGGTGCCATCAATGGTGACTGTCAGGTTGTGGGTTTTGCTGAGGGTGGATTTGGAGCTGATGAGGAGGAGTTCAGTTTTATTGCTGTTGAGTTTGAGGAAGTTGTGTTGCATCCAGAATTTTATGTGATCAAATTTCCGGCCTGTGGGGACAAAAGCAAAAAAAGTAAGCAGGGATATAAATCCAAATTCCCCTTTCCTTGTCCATTTTTTAGTCGTCGTTAATTAACATTCATTTATTTTTAGAATAAAAGTGCATTTCTCATTAAGTTTATTACCATTTATTAGGTAAGGGTTCTCTATATAGCGTTGTGCCACATAGCTTTCCACTTGAGCTGCATCCTTCTGTTCCTCTGAGCGTGTGCCATCCTGTGTTAACACAAAATTATCAATCTGAATTATGTGGATGTAGTATTTAACTTACAGCAAATGCCTTTATGTAATAAATAAACAGTACCTTCTTCCAATCCATGATGTCTTTCAGTTTCCTGAACAGAAAAATTCCTTTCCCTTGCGATTTTGCCACCTAAATAACATTGCTAGTTAATTTTGATGGTGAATTGATGATAATAAAGATAATTTTTATTGCACTAGATTTAATCTATTGCCTAGCTTACCGGCTTCATGATCCAGGTGCTACCAGGGCTTATTTTGAATTCCTCTACAAACAGATGATATTCGCTTGGCAGTGCAAAAGTGCAGGGGAAGAATTCACATTTGGATGCCTCCATGCGACCAACATCTCTTTCAAGATTTTTCCTATATCTTTTGAGATTTTTCACCATGAGGTTTTTGCGAGTCAGCTGTAACAAAAGCTCAGAAAACTCAGAAAAAGACGTCATGGCATTTGATAATATGAATGATAAAGAATATTAATGTTGAAATCTATAACTTATAGTCTCAAAGCATGCTAGACTGAAGCTGGCTCACCTCATAATGATTGCGAAAGTGGTTTATCCTCACATGTTCCTGTATGAATGATCAAAATTCTCCCTTAGCCAGCCCACATCACACCAGTTGAAGTCCCACTCACCTTCACTGTTAGAAAAAACGTGATGCCATGTTCGAACCACAAATATTACTGAATATAGGTAAAATGACAGTTAAAATAACACTACTTACTCTTTGACTTCAACCCAACCGGGCCTTTGGCGCAGGGACATCCTGTATGGTGTTGAGTAGGCCACACTTGTAACGCACACAACTCCTTCCCTCCCTGAAGTGTAACATTGCCACTGTTACCAGTACTTTCGAGGTTTGTTTAGTGTTATTCACCAGAGGAATGTAATTAGGTACATTTAGTCATGATGTACTTTAAGTAAGTTTGATTTTGCAATACTTTTATTTTCCTTCAGTCTTTCCTTTCCGTGCCATTTACTTCTTCAACAAAATTTCCCCTATGTGGGACAAATAAAGGTATTCTAAAATCAAGATTTTGAGTATATTCAGATTTCTTTATACTGTACAACAAAATACACTGTGAACAACTGTTAATTGACAGCCAACTTAAGAACAACACTCACCGCTCCTCACTTTTGCCATAATCATTTGTCCCTTTGAATCCAGATGTCTGCAACAATGAAAAAAGCAAAAACATATTTAGCTTTCATCCAGGTTGTTTTGGGTAACTTGTAAAAAAACGATTTTACAATTTTAAGCTGCAAACTACACTTCAAAAAGCAACTCCTGGTTTGCTTATAACTTACTAACCTACTTACTTTCTAATTGTTTAATACAAGTATAGTCTTAAGTCCTATCACTACTTGAACGACTAATTAATTGATGGATAAGCAGTAACTCTCTGTAACGCTCTGTAACGCTAGTTGGAACTTAGCTAAGTCAATCACACAAATAGCTAACAATAATAAGTTAACATCAGTCAAATAAAAGCCTACAACACAACAAAGCGTACACATAGTGCTTTCTACTTACCTTACACTTTGACATGGAGGCGCACGCTATGAAATATTAGAAGACTAGGTTTATATTACAAGAATATGCGTAATTAATGATAAGTAACATCTAGTTAGCAATTAAGCTAGCTCGTCTCAATGCGTTGTTTGGCAATTGTTGTCATGGCAACCATGACCGAATGACATAGGGTCCACGTCTTCATGTGCTTACCGTAGAAAGCCAACGGGTGACCTACTAAATTCACAGCAAACACGCATCACACAAAGGCTAACAAAGTAATCATATTTTAAAAATAAATAAGTTTATCTTCCGTCAGAAATTATTACAATTCCCAGAAGTTTGGCGTTAGAGTGAAAGTATTGCGTTAACAGTAAGACCACTGGCAAACATATTATCTTCCCTCAACTTTACAATAAATCCACCACTTAGTGGCGCCAAAACCACATCTAACTTTTTGTGTAGCATAATGTTGATCCATTATAATGTCTAAAAAAATGTATTAGGTTGTGATTTGAGCATTAGATTATATATGCTTAATACACACAATTATCACATCTAGGCTACTTATTTACTCATATAGCCTAGTATTCACGTCAACAGATAGGCTATCAGCTATCAGATTGATTGATTGTTTGTTTGATATGTGAATTGATTGCTAAATGGGCCTTACTGTAGGTCAAAATCAGCTAAAACTTGTTGATTGCCAATCCTTTTTGGTGTTTTATCTATCATCACTTTGCAAATGCTAATTCCCACTGGCTTATGTGATATGTGATACATTTACCATTTGACCAAAATAAACAAATGATAAACGTCAAATCAACACAAATGGTACAATTATCGAACTATTATAGTTTTTAAATATTTAAAGCTAAATGTGATCTACAAATAAAAGAACACAATGAAACATTTTTGGTTTTATGTTGCAAACATTGAACTTTTGGCCCAGTTAATACCCCCAGCAATTTACATAGACAAGAGGATTATGGAACAAACATTTGGTAGTGGAGAGAGAGATGGATCATGAGACCTTTGATCTCTGAGGGTTATATAAGACCCTCGACGACGTATTGAGGACCACACTGCCCTGCATACCAAACCCCACATATTACCTAATGGTTGATAGATTGTATTGAATGTTTGTGTTTCTTTACTTTAATCAAGGAAATTAAATGGTAAATTATCGCAATGATCCTTTGGTTGTTGTTATAATAATAATAATATATTTTATTTCTATAGCGCTTTTCTTGAACCCAAAGACGCTTTACATTTGGGAGGGAGGGTAGACAAACAAAACAAAGACAATGCCAAAACAAAACAGAAAAGCAGTCAGGAGGAAGTTGATTAAGAGGGGGGGGGGGGGGGGGGGTTATGGATACAGAGTTGAAGAGGTGGGTTTTGAGGCGGGACTGGAACAGGGTGAGGGACTCAGACTCACGGAAGTATTGGGGGAGGGAGTTCCAGAGCTTCGGGGCTGCCACAGAGAAGGCTCTGTTCCCGAAGCTCCGGAGTTTGGCCTTGGGGATGGAAAGCAAACCGGCTGAGGTGGATCTGAGGGACCGGGTGGTTGGTAGAGGATGAGGAGGTCAGTGAGGTAGGGGGGGAGCCAGATGGTGGAGGGCTTTGAAAGTGAGGACCAGGAGTTTGTAGTGGATGCGGTGTGAAACGGGGAGCCAGTGGAGTTATTTGAGGACCGGGGTGATGTGATGCCATGATTTGGTGTGGGTGAGGAGTCTGGCGGCTGCGTTCTGGACACGCTGGAGTCTACTGAGGGATGTGGAGCTGATGCCGTAGAGGAGTGAGTTGCAGTAGTCAAGGCGGGAGGAGATGAAGGCGTGAATGAGTCGCTCAGCTGCAGGGCGGGTGAGAGAGGGACGGAGTTTGGCAATATTGCGGAGGTGGAAAAATGAGGTTTTACAACTTGACGGATGTGGGGCTCGAGGGAGAGGGTTGGGTCAAATATAACGCCAAGGTTGCGTGCCTGGGTGGAGGGGGAAACAGGGGTGCCATCAATGGTGACTGTCAGGTTGGGGGTTTTGCTGAGGGTGGATTTGGAGCCGATGAGGAGGAGTTCAGTTTTATTGCTGTTGAGTTTGAGGAAGTTGTGTTGCATCCAGGATTTTATGTGATCAAATCTTCGTGCACTGGAGATAAAGGCCATATTTCTGAATGATAAAGCACAATTACAGCTCAATATATATGCCTATCCAAAAAAACGTACATTTATTGCTTTTAGCCCCTTGATGTAAATTCTGTAAAAGGAGCTTGCACCTGAGTCAGATTCCTGTGTAAAGCCAAAAAAATGGGTTATATTATCGTTTCCTATGTGCCTATTGCCTTTTTAACATTCTCAGCACTCCTCCACTAATCAAACAATCAACCTACTTTAGACTCTGACATAAATAATCAGGACAGTTTTGAGGTAAAGGGGCTTTAAATTGAATTTGTTTGGGTTGGGTCAGTTAGAAAGAACATAGGCCAGGCTTCTCAGCAGTGTGTGATAGGATCGCTCTACTACTGCAGCTGAGTCAAAATCTAGTCTCGAAACGTCCCTGTCATGAACATAAACTATAAAATCAAGTAATTAAGTTGCGTCATTTCACAAATTGCACCAGTTACAAAACATAACATATGGTTAGAAGAACTGACTTTCTATGTGCTGTCAAATAGGAATTTTAGTATTATTTCAAACTCTAACAAAGATTAAGAACAGACAAGAAAGTCTATGAATTATGGCAACGCTAATATGTTTCATATCGAAAACAGCTGGCTATAAGATGGCACAGTTTCTTTCAAACTTCATCAACATCTGCTTGGGCGGGCCTCAGACAAGAAAAGCATACTCTGGCATCTTTTCTTTGACGATGTTTTCTGCAGATGAGATGTACATGTGTTAATTCAGTCTCCAGAAAATTGTTAATAAATGTTTCCATCTCCTCCAGATTAGCTGTACATGTCTAATGATTGCTTGTTGGGAAAAACAAGAATGTGATTGTAGCAGTCATTCAAAATATCAAACTGTGATAAGTTAGGGATTTATAACTGAGATTGATATTTGCCCAAATCCAATCATCTTCAGCTCTTAAGAATGCAATGTGACAAGCCCAGAACATTTTGAGCTTGAAGATGCAATGTAAGACGTGGTTCATTTGCTGATAGTATTTCAATATTTTTTTAATTTGCAGATAAAAACATTGCAGCAAACCACTTTTAAAGACTATGTTTATCTAGATCTCATTTAACAGAATATAGCATACAATTACAGCATTAGCCTTTATAATTTGCTGTTGCTTTCATTGCCAGTAGTTACCATTTACATCACCATCAAAGCATTACAAATGTTGTCACTCCCTGCCCACCCAAAACTCTGTTTCTGAAGCCTTAATAATCGGTTAAACCATATATGCCGATCAGGGGTCAACCTTTCAGCAAGCTTTTATTTTGAGGTCGATTTCTAGCATTTCTGTTTTTGCAATGGTTTATGGTTTGGCAGCCATTCCTGCAGAGCATTTATATCATAAGTAGCTGTACCTTGCATATAATTTAGGCTAACCACATACACTTTTATCCTTATGCAACATGAAAAAACAACTCCATGATCACCAGTATCTTGGAATGGATATTGTTTTGAGGATCAACCCATGGGTTTGACTCTTTTAAACACGTAGCCCATATTTTGTATGGATCTGAAATTAAATTCCAACCCTATAATCCAAGTTGGATTGTCATTTTAAATCTAGATTTTTCTTTGGAAGGCCTTCATGCTGGCACAGTGGGGATCTTGCATACATCTCAATACCCCCACTCACTGTTAGGCATCCCACAGGTCATACTTTTCCCAGTGGATGATAATCATCAGTCCTGCTAAACCAATTGCTCCTCAACAGCAACCACAGAGCAGGATAATCTGTGGCATCAGCTGTTACTCATAATGGAGGCATCTCGCTGACTTTAGAACAATAATCCTCACCTTAGAACGATGTTATTATATGTGGAAAGTTGAGCTCAGCCATAGATAGTTTCACCAGAGTCTACCCTCTTCATGCTCC